CGGAGTCAACGCGGCGCAATCTATGAGTTGCCGCCGCCGTACGAGGCGGCGACGCGGCGACGTGCACCCATGGGGCGGCTGGCCGGTGGACCCACGCAACTAATGAGTACCCAAGGAAGACACCCTCACCGCAAGCATTGTTTGGAAAAGATGGCGCTCCGTGCAGGCATGTGCCGCAACAGGGTCAGCGTGCGTCGAAACACGTGCGCGAGGCTCGAGGTCAATTCCTCGTCCTGCTCCCGCTTAATCGGACGACGTTGCGGGCCCGCTCCTTCTGATCTGTGCAGATCTTGACCAAGTACGCCCGGCGGCGCACGTTGACCCATGCCACCGCCGCGCGAAGGCGAACGATGAACTGGTCTCTGGTCTCCATGGAGTCCGGCTCTGTGGCGGCAAGGCGAGCTCGCACCTCTCGCCACGCGTTTTCGATCGCGTTCAAATCCTGGCTGCACCTCGGATAATGCTCCGAGAGGTTGATGCCCTGCTCGCGCAAGGCGCAGTGCGGCTCCTCGATCCAGAAGCACCGCTCGTGATCTTGAACCAAAAATGCCCCGCGGTCGCTCCCCGTCGCCTTTCGCAGCCACGCAGGGAACTTGTGGTTGATGGTCCACTCGTACCACCAGCGGTTCATCGTCTGGCCTTGAGGTATGACGTAGACGAACAGCATCCCTGCCACGAGCAGCCCCCATATTCGCACCGGATGGCCCTGCGCCTTCCAATAGGCTGACGGCCCAATGCGCTCCTCGCACAGGCCGCCCGAACCGTCTGCCTGGCGCCACGCATACGGGCCCAATGCGCCGCGCCGGTGCGACTCCAACTCGGAATGGTCGCGGGCCATGAAGAATACTACGCCGTCGGTGCACGCCCACCGCGCCAAAGTGGTCGCGGTGCGCGCAAGAGTCCACGCGGCAAAGTCGAGCCGACTCACCTGTCGGCCGAGAGCAGACGTTTCGGGGCGCGCCATGCGCCCCGCGGTCCACGGGGCCAGCTGACGGATTTGCTCGGGGATGACCACAAATCGAAACGTCTGCCCCCGGCCATCTTATGCGCCTGCGGCACTATGGACTTGAGGCGCCTCCGAAGCCAAGCGAGCCCCGCCTCGCTCAAGCGCCGCTGCGCCGTGCGGATGCTCACCTTGCGCGCTGCCTTGATCATCTTCCGCACGTGTTGGGCCGTCACCACCGCGCGGCCGCGGTGCTTGTGCGCGAGGCGCAGGATCTGGCGGTCCAGAGCCGTCCCCGTGCTGCGCGGGCGGCCAGCCTGGGAAAGTCTCCCCCCGTCAAAAGCGAGACCGCCGTTCTTCTCCACGCAGCGGATGGTCGCGGCCACCGTCTGCTGGCACGGGTGGCTGCCGTCCTCCTTCGCGACCTCGTCGGCGATCTCCTGGTAAGTGGACCCGGTCAGGAAGAGGCCGCACACGACGCCGCGAAGGAACGGCGACAGCTGGGCGCGAGGGGGCATGGCGGCGAGAGACCTAGGCCGGGCGGCGTCGGGCGCGCCGAACTGCCGCGCGCGGCACCCAGGAGGCTCGAGCACGGCAGCTGCGGAATACGCGCGGGGCCAGCGGCGGCGGCGCGGCCGACGGCGGGGGGGGCGGGGACCTCACCTCACTGAACACTCCCGCTACCTTCTTCCACTTGTATTGCGCCAGCGACCGCACGAAGCAATTGTTGTGTGGGAGCCCATTCTCATGGGGCTCGCGAGAAGTAGCCGTCTCCTCCAAGGTCACGCCATTGGCAGTGTGAACCTGAACCACCATGACGTTGAATTCTTCCCTGGTGAAATCGGACGGGGTCTTCAGGCCCAGGCGTTCCACCGTCTCCGGCTTCGGATGCGCCTGGGTGACCCAGTACACGTGCTGTCCCTTGGCTCCGCGGCCTTGCTGTGGAGGCCCAATCGACGACACGTCTTGCAAGGCCTGCAAGGCTGGGGCGGCGGCGGCATCGTCGGCGCCACCGACTGGGGCCTGCTCAGCGCCAGCGTCAGCCATAGAGTGGCACCCTTGCCACTCTGGGCGTCGCGCGCCGAATGGTTTGAGCCAGAATGGCTACGGAATCATACGCGAATCAAAAGACGGGCCTGAGCACCACTGTGACTGCGAGCATCCGGACATCTCCTGTGGACACCACATCAATGGCGAACACTTCAGCCTGCGAGCAGCACAAGCTTGCAGAGCGCAATATGATCCATCAGGGGTACGTTGTTGCCCCAATGCAAGCCCCACAACGCCTGAGTACCACCGTGACTGGGAGCACCAGTTTTCCTGTAAACATCGCACTAATGGCGAACACGTGAGCCTACGAGCACCACAAGGACGCAGAGCGCAATAGGATAAATCAGGAGTGCGTGTTTGCCCCAATGCAAGGTCAACCTCATCCATCCTCCATCCTCCCTCCAACGATCCGTCCCCCGTTAACCCCTCCACCATCGCATCCCTCATCCTTCCACCTCTCATCCCTACATCCCTCGATCCTTCCACCCATCCGTTCCTCCTCACTCC